GTCCACCATGCTTTGTTTTTTGTATTTTTGCACGATATGTGGCAGATTTTCACTTATACACACATAAAATGTATTAAATGGGAATAATGAATGTTGTTATAGCCGCTGTCACATATGTATGACGTCAAATTCTCAAAACAGAATCAGCGCCGTCACACATATGTGACGCTGATAGCGAACGTGTTAATTAATATCTCAATTATTATTGCAAAAACTGCAAAATGGTAAAGGATTTTTCTGTTCAGTTTACCGCGCCTTTACACGAGTATTATTAAACTCTGTACACAGCGTTATTTAACATTTAATCCTGTTGTTTAATCTTGCTATTCACATGTAAAAATTAGTTAAATCTGTAATTAGGTTATTATATATATATAAATGTAAAGTGTAGAATAATTAAAAAATAAATAATTGGATCGCATTTCGAGCGAGCATTTATATTAAACCAGTAGAGTTGCGCCTTTGACGGAGTCTAGAAAGGATTTAAATAAAGGAAAGATTTAAGAAAAAAACCCTTTGAATTTTTTCTATAAACACAAACCTGCACAAGTATAAATCATGTGCAAAAATTAATGAAACTGTTTAAGCAAAAGAATCTAGTTGTTTGATTTCTCTTTTAAATGTAATACGTTTTTAATTTTCTTAAGAGATGGAAAATCTGTCAAAGTATGCAACTTTTGCAATGATAACCGCTCAATAGCACAAAGTAACGCAGCGCGCATCGAGATAAATCAGCATCGTGAAAAATTGAAAATTTGCATGTCTTTTTAAAAGTAGAAAAGAAAATATACAACGTTGCAAAATAATTATTATAACACTTAACGTTTGACATACGTCATACAGTATGTGTAAAATCAATTTACTTTGTGGATTAAAATGATCCTTTTGTTTTAATAATAAAAATCTAAATCCAAAATTGTACACATAAAAGTTTTGAAGCTTTACTTAGCTGGGTTTAAATATTAAAAACGTTTTAATATTTTATTGAGAAATGGCGTCTAAAAAAGTTATACGTTTTCTTCAAGCGTAAGAGACATAAAAGGAGTGGAAAAACCCAGAAAAAAGAATTACAGAACTATCGCATCGGCAAGATAATCCATTCTCAGTCCCTCGAGCGAACGTTTGTTTTTCCTCAATTGCTATCAAATGGAGGTAGAAATGATATTTGTCGCCTACTCGGGAAGAAACTTTCTTTTACTTTGTTCTCAAGGCAGCCCGGCGACGTTCTGATTCTAGAAAGTCTCAGCGATTCTTCCTCACGTACTTCAAGGGAACCTTAATCGCGTCTTAACCGCATTCAACGGATTTTAACCTTCTCAGAAAGCCAATGTAAAACCACATCCGTTGTATCCATGCGATAAGATTTATAGTTCAAGAATCTAAATAGCTTCGGAAATCATAATCATAATCCTTTAAGTTTATTAATGCGCCTGTACACAAGAAAATGCAAATGTCATTAATGGTACTTTTCATTCTTTTTATAAAAATAATTTTTTATTATTATACTAACATTAAATTAAAAAATGTATAAGTTGAAATCTGCATTTTGAATTTTATTTTTTTAATTTTACAATTTTACTGTTATAATTGAATTTAATAATCCAAAATACCCGAGTCGAAATTTAGCACCTATATTGAACCTTAATCTTTTATTTTGAGGTAGGCATAAGAGAGTCAAAGTAGATGTTATGCATTGTATCGTATGTATCTAATAGCACTTACTTTGGCGCTACAATATGTCCGAAATTTCCTTTTTTCCTGCTAAAGCTTCAAAGTAGGGTTTAGTTAAAACCCTCCGTTGACCCGCTTTAGACCCTGAAAATATATAGATTCCTTTTTGCCAGCACTACTTTTATGATATTATCAAGAAATTCTAATGATTGCAAATGTTCCCAATAAAGAAAAATACTAACTATAATTTTGATTAACGATAATTTTTAATAGCATACAATTTAAAAATATCATCAATCAATACCATTTAGTTGAATTTTATTATCTTTTGAAAATTTGTAATTATTAGAAATTTCTTGATAATATCAAAATATAATATCAAAATTCAACTATTGAGTATTGATTTCTAATATTTTTAAAAATTCTATGCTATTAAAAATTATCATCAATTAAAATTATATAGTTAGTAATTTTCTTTATTATTGTGAGGATTTTTGCAATCATTAGAAGTTCTTGATAATATCATAAAACTAGTGCTGAAAATCCATATATCTTTGTGATTATATTAAAAATATTAAATTAAGATATTAAATATAAAATAAGATATTAAAAACATTACATAATATTTATTGAATTAAATATTATTTATTAAGTATATGTAATACATATAGTTAAGAGTATATTATTAAGTATAGTTAACATGCGTTAAAACAAGTTCAGACAGAAATATTTATACAGAAAAAGGTCCAAATTAAGACTGAAACGTTTGATAATATTGTATCACTTAATAAAGCAATAATCAAAATACAACCACATTATGTATATTGCTCGTATAGTTTTTCATTCTTATTTGAATTTTAACGTAGTACATCTAAAATAGTTAACATTTAATAAAAAAATTAATTTAAAAAAATTTTTTTGCGCTGAATTTTTTTCAGATATTATATCACTATTTTGAAGAAGGAAACGGAAAGGTATCAATATTAATGAAAGTTGGAAATGCAACGAATTAAATATTTTCCTTTATGATTAAACATTATAATAACTTTTATAGGTCGAATTTATCTAGTATATATATATACTAGATAAAAGTTCGAGGTTTAATGGAGGAGTTCTCGCAGTAATACAATCTATTTTGTGAGGCTCTATAGGTTTAAAGTAGTATTTCAACATCAAATTATAGGAGATCAAGTTTTAAAAGAGGAGTTCTAGGTTCTAATTCCGTAAAAATAGGTTCATATAAGCTGTATGAGCATTAAAAGAGACGCTAAATTTTGACTCGGGTATTCTCAAAAAGTTCTATATCAATTCAGTAACTTTCATTGAAAGCTACCTGGTCTATTATTCACAGTCAAGAAACAACTTTTAATGGTATATCTATGTATTTTTGAGGGCTTTTATGATCCTCCATATTTATAAAATATCCATCTAGAATTCAGCGACATATGTTTATTGTTACTGATTCGCAAACTTTACCAAAACGCAAAGTCGCTGTCTCTGTAAGACTTCTCGATTTCAGATATTTTAAAAGCAATGTCTGTCCTTTTCTCTTTATCTCTAATTACGGCTAAATAAGCTGACCAAGCAGTATATTACGGCAGGACGACTCTGATTCGTTACAGACTAACCAGTTCACTGCCCAATATCTACCCGATTTCATCGATGAACAATACCGGCACTCCTATATCCTCACTGCCGCATCGACGAATAGCTTTTCCTCGCCGGACGAAACTATTAATTTTCATCTCCCGCGGCGACCAACGCTGCATAATTCGATTCTATGGAATTACCGCACGGCGACGAAACCGTGAGACGACGCGCGATTGCATCGTTGCATGCAAGCCGAGAGTTTCGAGCTTTACACTCTGATACCTTGAGTTCTAGATGCTCTTACTTCCAAAAGGGTGTTTAATTCCGGCTAACTGTCCGGAAACGACTCTACCGATTTTGTGCAAATTTATGCAAAATTACGGAAAATTGTTAAAGCAATTTAAGGAGTTCCGAGCCGCTGAAAAGTCTTCTGGATTCAATTTTGCTAATTTAAACGCAATTAATTGAGGTTGTGTCTATGCAAATTACATAAATTGTTCAAAAATACGGCGACAAAATATGTTTGGGATTAAGCTTATAATAAATACATTTTTTATATGTTTTACATTTCGGATATCTCTTAGTAAATAAAAAAGTATAATAAATTTCTATTTTTATATAAAAACATTCTCTTAATTTTAAAGAATTGTTTAACGTCTAAAATTGCTTTTTGATAACCAAAGTTTATAGATCTGATTCGCATGGTTCTATATTTATGCAAAGTTTCGGATTTTTCTGCATATACAGTTTGTAGCACTTTCCTTATTTTATATCTAAAGATTTTAAAAATTACGATTGTACGTAAACATCTCAATTATCAATAATCCACATCCTCAGAATCGTGTTCGCATGGAAAAGCCATAACCGATAAGCTTCGCTTTGAAATTGCTACGAGATCAACACTGAAACATCACAGCAGGTCGATAGACGAGCTGGTACGCGCTGTTATCCGGCATACTCCATTTACTCCGATAGCTACAAATACGTGTATTGCGGCGTGGAAACTTTAACTTGCCACCTTGTGGCAAGCTACCCTTCATCTGTAAGCGACAATCCTTCACGATGTAATGACTCGCGCGTTTCCCTAGAATGCGGGCAAGATTCTAACTGCATTGGAAATGAGGGAAGGGAAAGAGGGGAATTAAGGATGGAATGTAGCAAGAATTTTGCGAAATATTTCACCGGATTGTAAACTCTGTCTCCGGTAAATTCCCAATAAAATGCACTTAATGCATTATTTGAATCGGTTTGTTGTAAAGAAAGTTTGAATCAGATGTCTGTTTCTTTGTCGGTTTAAATGTCAAAAAGTTAAGTGTCTTTAAATGTGAGTTGTATTATTTATAAAAAAAATTGAAAAGTTTAATTTAAAAGTTACGAAAATGAATTATTAATACCATACAAAGATTTTTCAGACGTTTTACTACTTTTCTGCTCTGTCGGTCGAGTCTTTCTGCGTTATTATGTTTGTTCGTCATTCGACACACGTAAGAATAGTAAAACGTAAGGTCGCATTTTAGTAAGGCTGCTATAAATTGCTATCGATTGCAAAAGTAGGGGGTTGCAATGACGCGAGATAGAAAGTGCCCGCTATCGCTTTTTCCGGTAGGCTGGAAAGTTCGCGTCATGGAAAAATGTTTAAAAATAGTGCGTTTGAAAGTACGTTGTAGCAGCACAAATGAACCGAATATTTTTTCGTCCTTGATGATTGCATATTTAAAACGTATTGTTTGTTGTTTCAGGCTCTCAGCACCGTTTCAAGTGGTCGCCGCGATTTTAATCCTCGCTGCGACAGTGTCAGCTTTGATTGGTCATTGTTATTCCGATCAGAGGACTCTTATAGCCTGCGGACTCTTTCTCTTAAGCGGTAAATAAATTATTACATTTTCTTCATTTTTATCTTATGTATTTATCTTCAAATTTTATAGAGTTTTACTCTTCTAATGTTGCCTTTTGCAACGTTCATTATGAGTGTTGCTTTAATAGGAAGTATAGTAATCTTTGAAATTAGAAGTAAATAAAATAAATCCTTTAAAATTAACTTCTTTAAAGCAAAGTGACGTTTTCTAAATGTGCTGAGATTTTATGAAAATTTAAAAACTTTAATTTAAAATTGAAGGACTGATGAAAATAAATTATTGAGATATATTTAATTATTAACGTGATATGCCGCAAAAGTATAAATAATAAAACATAATCGGAAATGACAAGGGATAATCTGTCTTCACGGTTATAAAAATCCAGTACAGCGATCTCCGTGTCGCCAGAAACGTGATATCTTTCCATTTCCAACCCTTTCAGAAACTCCCCTGAATCCCGTATATTTATCTCCATTCCAATACCTCTTTTCTCGTTTTTTATCACGGATAATCCAGTAGATAAGTCGATATGCTCGTATAATTCAAATCGAAATTCGGGAAAGGAGTTGACAAAGGTGAGAAAAGATTGATAATATCATCAGAGAATTAAATTGATTTCTTCAGCAGCAAGAGCGAAATAGACGAGGGTTCAGCAGTTTAATAAAAACCGTCCGTGACTTTATCGTCGATGTTGATAAAAGGTAGTATCGTATATATACGATATGTCTACAAAGAATGTGAGTGACGTTTTCTATCATTAAATATAATTCAATAAGTCTAAAAGAATATTACATATATAAAAACGTAATACGCCGTCTATTATAGTATCATGAAGCCAGGCTGTTATTGACAACAACACAACTAGATGACTCACTAATGCGGTTGCATATTACATTTTTACCTGCATTATATGTGCAATTTTTTTTCGATTTATCGAAATAAATTTAATAACAAAAATGCCGATCTTGTTCTTCTTAAATATATTGTATAAGGAAATAATGATGTTAGATAGATATTGCAGAACGTTTTCTTTCGAAAAAGAATTAATAATAAAATAAAAATAATAGAATAAATAATAAAATAAATGAATAAAAAAATTAACAATTAAATGATCTAAAAAAGAAAATTCTTGAAAGATTCCAGTTAAAATTCTATTAAAGTCGATATTTAAGTTCAAGTTAATAAAACTTTAGTTAAGAATCCTGTGCAAATTGCAAGAGAAATTGTGCAAAATATTAGACGCTTTCATGTTTCTCTCTCATAGTTCATAAAGAACGGAAAATTTTTTATTAGCAATTGCTACTTTCTTTAAGAGGACTTTTTAATACGAAGCACTTAAGGGAGATTTTAAATGAGCGAGCTTCGAATTGCGGCGATATTTTTAAAGATCTTTTAATAGCGCCAAGAAAGGTTAAAAGCATGTCCTTTAATGAAAAAAAGCTTACTCGTACAAGTACCTCGCAAAATGTAAATAAAATTGTCATAAAACTGTGAATTAATTTTTGAAAAACTCAATTTTCTGATTAATTTGATAAAAGTGGAATATTCTGCATACATATAGAATCACGCTCAGAAGCAGTAGAATTTTGTGTGTGTTTGATTTTACTATTATAATTTTACATATTTGCGGCTTAATTCATATTGATTTTTCTAATATTGACCATTATTAGAATACTTAATTTCTTTCCATATATTTTTATTCTTACAACTAAAAAAACGGGTCTGAAAATGCACATAAAAATCACACAAAAATTTACTTTTTACGAATATGAAAGTATGACAGTGTGAAGTGAAGTAAGGAATAAATTTTCTCGACTTACTTCAACAATTCATCAAATCAGAAAAATTTGCAAAATAAATGTGCGCAAACAGAAACATGCATAACAAAATACAAGAGGTAGTTCCTAACAACGCACTGACTGTTGATTCGTATTAGCCACCCTCCGATATTAATTCAGAAACACTCTTTGTGAGCGCCTCCGGCAAAACTTTCGCGTGCACACTTTTGCATAATTGAACATTCTTTCCGCGCGAGAAGAAAGATGTAAAAAGAAACATGGAGAATACGACTCTCTAGCTGCAAGGAAGGGTAGCTAAGAGAGAAGAAGATAGAAAAAAAATTGCAGAATAGAGATAGCCTCGCTCATTCACGCCCGCGTGCTACAGCTTTGCGATAAAATTCTCTCTCTCTCTCCTTCCCCCCCCCTCTCTCTCTCTCTCTCTCTCTCTCTCTCTCTCTCTCTCTCTCTCTCTCTCTCACTCAGTGGATTTTCAAGTACCCAACCTCCTCTCCGTATACTTGCGAACGGCTGCCATATCGAGGACGAAGCAATTTCAAGACAGACTTTGGAATCATACTCGAGGGACACGACCAGACATTGCGCTTAGACATGTGCAATTTCAGTGAAAGCTTGAGGCTGCCAATTTTTTTAGGAACAAAAACATTTTCAACAATAACAAGTTTTTTTTTATTATATTTTATTAGAAGTAAAACGGAGAGATTGTGATAACTTTGCAGCACGACACAACACGAGAATTGTTTTTAAAAAATTTTTAAACGCTGAAACTGATGGAAAAAAACGGAATCTCGTTGTGAGTCCAGTGTTTTTGAGTTATTGATAAAAATAGCGTGGTGTAATAAAAAAGGTAATAAAATAAAAATTAAGTTTTTAAGTAAAATAAGTATTATCATTTATTCACTCTTTACATGTGTAATTAATTATTTAATATTTATGAAAATAAAACAATTCAAATTATCTTTAGTTTTTTAATATGAAAGTATTTAATTAATATGGAAAGTATTTAATTAATACTTTTTGATCAAGTTTTTGTAAAATATAAAACTTATATAAGGAAGTTAGAACTTTAAAACTATAAAGTTTAATTTTTATTTAATATAAGATGAAATAATGCCTTTTGCAGAATTATTCAAATGCATTAATCATTATCTCTGATCGCACCATAGTTTTTATAAACAAAATCGTCTTCATTGCTGGAATCTTTTCTATCCTTTGCAGAATAGGATTCTAAAGCGGATTGCCCCACTGTTTCGTATAGTTCATCATCCCAATTTTCATCCAGATCCGGCAGAGTGACGGTATTATGTCGGTGCTTCCATTTTGGATTTTGGTCAAATTTCGCACAGAAAACGCGATTACCTTTACGATCAATCCCTTCGTTCATATCGAGACCTCTAATTAATTAATTAATTAAAATAATTAATCAATAACTGATAGAAACCAACATCAAAATAACAAATAATTTTAACGGCTCATTTCTCGGCTCGAAATTAATGGATTGAGAAGCAAACGTAGTGCATTTTATAAAGTAAATTTAATAAAGTAAATTTTATTTAAACGAATTTTAAAAAATTAATAAAACATATAATGTAAAGTTAAATCAATTGTATGTAATGTTTGATATTATAAATACAAGAATAAATTTTAAATTTTGTTGAAAAGAATCCATATATTTTCCATTATACTCACTCTTCTACGCATGCTTCAGGATTATAATAGACACGGAAGCATTGCTTGCATTTTTTAAAATACAATTTTCCCACAAAGGATGCATATAAACCATGGACTTGCACCAAACAATCATAAAATTGCAAATCGCACTCGCATAATGAACTATAAAAAACCAAAATTAAGGCTGTACTCTTCGCGTTCTGATTTGCCGGAAATATTACCTTCTACAGATGTATTTGTTATATAATCCGTATTTTGTAGTTTTAGATTTTATCGAATCGTCGCAGCGATCGTGTGCTCTGCAACACATGTCTAGGTCTCTGTATACGCCCAATTCAGAATCGTTGTGAGCAATATTTCCAAAACCGCACCAAAGCGTGCCTAAATACATGTCGTAAACAAACAGACGAACAATCTATACGTTAAATTCTAAATTTTTAAATTGATCAGAAAAATGGCTGAATTAATCAATTTATAAATAAATGAATCAATCAATCATAAGTCAATAAATGAATAATAGAAATTCTGTGATCCAAAATGCACGAAGATTACATATAATTATAGCAAATGCTATATGCAATTATATAATAATAATTTTATACAAAAATTAAATTTTAAATAAAAATTTTTTTAAATTTGTTACCTGGAAGAATTCCATGTCTAAGGTTTTTAAGCTGCTTCAGCCCGGGTAAAATTCGATAATAATTTTTGATGTTGAAAAATGCTTCTGCCGTGTAGCTATTATCAACGATCAACACGTGCACGAAAAGCTTTATAAGATTGAATGTGTGAAATTGCTTCATTTTGAAGTTAATCGTTAATGCAAATTATCAACACAAGAAATAATTGTGTATTTAGTTTCACACATAAAACTATTTTTCAACCAACAGTTAACTTTATGAGATGTTAACTAACTCACATCGAAACTGCGTATGTTAACATCATGCGACATTGCGAATAAAATTGTGATATATACATCAAAACAGAAATTATGTATGTGTATACATATATGTATATATATATATTAATGTACACATGTATCTTTTATTCACCGCACATTTCCTTTATATCTGTTCTCTCACCGCTTCCTCGCGATATCAGATAATCTAAAATTAGCCGAACTTGAAGCACACTGGCCTTTTAACACGGATGTAGTGATAACATCTGCCATTGAAACTGGCTCATCTTGATTCGTGAAAATATTTTTTTATGTTTTAGAGAAAAAGAAAGTATAACTTGATATCAGTACAGACAAAACTATATGCGTTCCTACTTTTCGATCTATTCATTTTTTAGACATACATAATTAAATAGAATTTATTTATAAATTTATAGAGTGATACCGAGTAATGCAACAGCAATTCTGGTGCTCTGATTTTTTGCTTAAAAATGATTGTTCACTTTTCATTATCTTATAAAAATTGTCTACTGAAAATTTAGTTTTTCAAAACTTATTTTCTTTTGCCTAAATCGATATTTCAGTTTTGTTCCTTGTTCAAAAATAGACTGAAACGTTCTATACTGACTTATCAATCTTGTATTGACACTTTTTACGATAAAACTATCTACTTGCATTAGCTTTTCAATTTTCGGTTTTTCTTTTCTGTTTTGATTGAATATCATAAAACTTTCTATAATTATTTTATTCACTAGCAATTTATTTATTTATTTATATTAAATATTTTATAAAAATAATTTTTTTTTAAATGTTTTAGATGTTATGTTTTTGTTATTTTATTGTAAGATAAAAGACTGCTTTATTATCAGTTAAAAAAACTGTGAAACATGCGAGATAATGCTTGTTCTTCTCAAATGAGCAGTTTTGCTTATCGGCGCGCGTTCTTGATATTAATAGATTGTCGTGAACATTTTTTATCATACATTTTGTTCCGCTGCATGCTGTTTCGTGTCCACTGTGTGTATTTTATAGCACTTTGAATAATCGCTTAAATTAATAACATTGTTGCAGAGAATTAAATAAAAAAATAGAATCAGTGAGAAAATTCCATAGAAAATATAATGCAAACTTTTAATGCAAGGTTTATTTAATGTATCAGAAAATTCATTTATTTTTAAAGCACATATTTCTATTGTACTGCAAAAAATAAATTAATCGTAAGTATATTAAGTACCATAAATTTATATCCTCTTTTCGTTTAATTTTTAAACATATTAAATATTTTATTTTTATTATTTAAAAATCTTTCAGCTTTTAGCTAGTAATTTTTAATAAATTGTATCTGAGTCGGAGACAAAAGAAATATCGAGTGTAAAATTTCTTTAATGTATTTAATGTAGATTACTTAAAAAAAACTAAAAATAATGGTTGGTCATTAAAGAAAGCTTTATCTAAAATTACTTAAAAGAACTGTAAAATGCAGATTTAATATTCCGCGTATAAAATTAATATTTTTAATGCAAAGTTAAAACTAGAGTAAAAAAATAAATTACAGGATATATTTTCTTTCCTTAGAAGCTGGGAGAACTGAAATGGGGTGGCAAGTATCTTCCTGGGTTTCTAGCGGAGCTTTTTAAAGCTTTCTCTACATTATCTCAACTGCTCGACCAACCCTCTCCGTTAACCACTCGAGGCCTCTTTTCCTCGATTGTGCATTCCTTTTAACGATTTCGTTCCTTTCAACCGCAACATCCACTTTCTCTTCACATTTGTCTCTCGTTTTTCAAAGTTTCCACTTGCTGCCTATCTAACATTTATCTTGATACTTTTTTTAATGGACTAGACAAGATTACAGATAATAATAACAATTTTATTCTTGAATAAATAATAAATTTTTTTCTGATTATATTCGTACTTTTTTGCACACAAAGGACATTTTTAATATATATATTTTTTTAAATAATTTATAGAATACAATCATGTAAGATATTTGAATGAGGCTTTGATTGTTTACATAAGAAATAAGTTTCGTGATTTCAATCTTCTCTAAATGTTTTTCGTTTTATCATAATTAAGAAGATATAATACTAAAAATAATGCTTCAAAAGGATAATGTCAATAAAAAAAGGTACCAATTCAGACATAATTGTCGAGGAAGTTGTGCAGAACGTTGGACAATTACAAACAAAAAAAAACTATTTGCAAGATGTAGCAAGGAGAGAGAAAGAAATCTGCTTACATCTTCGTCAACGGTCGCGGCAGATGGTTTGCATTAACTCGACGTACGCGTTTGTGTTGAATACAAAAGGTTTGACGTACGTGTGTGCGTGTTGCCCGGTCGAGGTTAATGTACCAAGAAGCACATTACTGGGAGTGCTTACCGTGAGGGAAAGAGCGAGTGCAAGGCCAGCAGTCACCAAAGCACGTAGCCCCAGCTGCGGAGGAGGGAAAAACGAAATGTTGGCGACTAAAAACTGGCAGACCACTCTCCTCTCGGTACTAGTTGATGAAAAATGCACCGTATTTTTCCCACCCAAACATTATATTAAATATATTCTCTCTCTCTTTAAATATCAAGTAAATTAATATAAAATATGTAACAAGAATGTAGCTGGAAATTACAGATACATTATTACAAAAGTTATTCAAAATATACAAGTACAAATGTAATAAAAATTTTTGAAAGTTTATTATAAAATCGAGTGGAAAAAGAAACACAAGACATACGTTTAATTGTACTTTTAATTAATTTTATAGCAAATAGGTTCTTCACGTAATAAAACTTTTGCTGTGTTTGTATCTTTATTTTTTCAGACATTTATTCATTACATTTTATTTTTCGATATTATATTTTACTTTTTAGTTTTACTTAGCAATCATTTGCAAGAGCATCCCGCTTTAAACAGCGAAAAGCTTTTTCGACCTTAAACATTTCTCTTTCATTGCGCGTACTTTTTTTGCGGAATACGGAGTCGGCAGTCATGAAAGTAGCACAGTCTAGACTTGTAAGTTTTCCACCTTAAGATCTGTAATTACATATCCGGGAGAAGGCAAAAAAATGGGAAAAAAAGAGATGGACACGAAAGATACAGATGGAAAACGAGACTGTAGCATCCGGTTGTAAGACGCGCGCTCCGCTGGTCTCTGATTTATATTGAGCTTTGCCGGACCTGGTCTCGACCTCAACCGGATTTTCGAGGGTTTACGCCGCGCTGCTTCCGAAATTCCGGCAAGGAAATTCCTCGGAACCCGCAGTCTCAGCCAGATTGATTTACCGCTTTCTGATAGTAAGTCGCGATATTGTGACGTATTAATGTTTAGGAAAGCGTATTTGTTAAAAAATTTTAGGAAATCAATTCTTTAAGCAACAACATTATTATCTAATTAAATCTCAACAAACTAATTTGTTCAATTGTACATAATCTTTTCGAGACGAATCAAAGCTATTAATATTTTAATTAAAATTTATTTTTATTCTAAAAATTGAAATTGAAAATTATGAAACATTCTGTACACGAACAAATACATCGCGTAAGAATATCACAGTCGTTATTACCTTTGACTTTTCGCACAAGGAGATATTTCTATTCCTGAGTTCGCGCGAAGAATCAGGTTTTCGACTGCGCATCGTTGGCTTGTCTCCGACAAGTCGCCGCTTTGAGATTCATTAGACTTCGTAATGTTCGTTATTCTTGTCATGTTACAATTTGTAAGAGACACTCAAAGTTCTACAGCGGACGACACGTGACTCCATTAAAAGTCACAGCAGAAATTCGCGTTCGATTATAATAATAATTCTAGCCGCCGATGTGGCCGCAAACTCTCAGCCGCTTTGCGTCTGACATTTCTGCTTTAAAAGCACACTGGGAAACGTCTAAAACTATTTTATTTCTCTTCGAAAAGTTAGTGTCACGCGTACAAAGTTGAGAAAGTTTTTAGAGAGATAATAAAAATCCTTTTATTTGCATTTCTTCTTAGCTTAGCGCGGTTAAAAGCTTGAACGGACTTGCAAATGCTTTCCAAGATTTGCTAATGTGCGTAATTTATATTTTTAATAAATGTTAATCCACGCTTTGAGCGAAAATCGAGATGTATATATTACGCGATATACCAAACACAAGTAGATTTAAAAAATTTCCATATATCCCATAAATGCTTTGAAGTGGCGCGTTCATTAAAACGTCGTAGCACAGAACGGAGATTAAACTTTATTATAAAGGCGGCGAGGAAAGACTCTGTCGACCATGTGACTAAATTTCTCACTTGTATCGCGTCGTGGAAAAGCCAACCTACAATCTTTCAGACGTGATAAAAGGTCCGAGATTTAAAAAATATAATTAAAAATTTAGATCACAAAGACTGAAATATTTCTTTAATAATGAAGCATTTAATTGTGAAATTAATTAGATTAGAAGCTTTTGCTTTTTAAAAAATTTATGTACTTTTAAATGTAAACTCTACTTTCAGATTCTTTGTACTTATCGTAAAATAAATACATCTTTGAAAAACGTTGTTATTAAGCAGATGAATCGATTAATTTTTTTTTTTTTTGCATTGCTAACTGATCTGTACATTTCTATCATTGTTATTTATGTTTCCCAGTTGTCTCAAAGTGCCGTCACAATATCTAGAATCAATGCATACGTTACGGGATAACGGAACAATATTTTACCTGTCGGAACGAATCCGCAATTCGAGAATGGTGCTTCAATTCCGGAAGTACCGCGGCTACGAACTTCAACTCAATACGTCAGCAAACTTAAAATGGAAAGTTGACAACCCGCGGGCATGCCAGACATTCCGCCTCTGTCGCGTTCAATTTGAATAAACCCACACCCGCCAGCAGGCCGCAGGCGAATTGCGTCCCTTTCAAACTTATTCAAATTACGCCGCCCCTACGGTTCCCCTTAATAGAGCCTCTCTATTCAAGGAATGTTACGGTGCCGACCGCCGCTATCGAGCGCCGAATTATTCTAAACCACCATATCGGCGAATCAACTATGCTCAGAGAACCGTTAATAATTTACAATGCAAGTTGTAAGCTTATAATAACT